ATTACACAAAGAAAAGTGCTATATGTACACCCCTTTTTTACACTTGAGGGGGTGTACATATAGACACCCCCTATTTTTTTTGCCCAAAATGTTAAATCTGAAAATGCTCGGAATCAGATATCACGACTCGCTATTAGTTATACGCTAATACAAAATAAGATATCCGATATCTGCTATCAGCTAATAGCTAAATCGAACCAATATGAGAATATTGTTGCATGATCGATCAATCAATCAATCGTTTTGTTGTCTTGGTGCAGTTCAATTTCGAAGGCAACTATGACTTGGTGAAATTTATCAAAACAATTGGTGAGAATGGTATGTGGGTGACCCTAAGAATTGGACCTTACATTGAGGCTGAATGGAATTTGGGGTATATAGCTTTTTTTTTCAATAAAATTATTTTAATAGGTACTTTATTTTATATTTTAAAATTTTATTTCTTTAATTTATCCAATTTTTTATAATTTGAACAGAGGATTTCCATACTGGTTGAAGGAGGTTCCAAACATCACATTTCGTTCCTATAATGAACCTTTCATGGTAATTAGTCCAAATTCCAAGTTCTATTTTTTTTTTTTTCTTGATTATTATTTGTAATTGCAAAAAGCACACACTTATAGTATAGGAAAATGTTACGGTCCCGTTACGGAACAATTCCTTCGGGGTTTGTAACCGTTAGATCATCATGTAATCGTCGGGGATAATTGATCTAACGGTTACAAAATCCGACGAAACGGTTCCATAACAGAACCGCTAGCATCTCCACTATAATAGAACAATTTATAATTGATATAAAATCCATTATACAGTACCACATGAAAAGGTATGCTGAGATGGTCATTAATTTGGTCAAGAAAGAAAAACTCTTTGCAGACCAAGGAGGCCCAATTATCATGGCCCAGGTATATATATTTTCACTATTTCAGACTTTAAATAAATAGAAAAGTACACATTATTATTTATTTTTATCTTTATTTTTTCCATTTCCACCAAAAACTTTGCTAATAATTAACTCTTTTCATACTCATTCAGATTGAGAACGAGTACAACAATGTCCAACTCGCATACAAAGAGGCCGGTCAAAACTATGTTAAGTGGGCCGCAGATTTGGCTGTGGGCTTGCACAATGGTGTGCCATGGGTCATGTGCAAGCAAAAGGATGCCCCTCAGACAGTTGTAAGTTCCTATATGGACTATTGGAGTCCCTCGGTTCATATAATTAGGATTGCAAACGAGTCGAGCGACTCACTCACGTACAACTCGCAAGTATTTTAGTCAAAGCACAACTTAAGCATTTCAAATTTGAAAGTCTGCAGTTTGTACGTTCAAAAGCTCAACGAGCCGCTCTAAGATATTTCAAACTACCTAAATACCCTTCATTAGACATTTTTAATTAAAATTTTCAAACCAAACTTGAACCGATCACATTCAAGTTGATCTGGAGTTTGTCTTGAGCGTTTGTGTTTTGTCGTCGAGCTGAGCTTCGAGCAAGACATTTGCGGGTGTGAAAAAATCGACCAGTGCTCGACAAAGAACAATGTTCGACTCGGCTTGATAAAGACCAGTAAAATTTGAAATATTTCGGTATATTGTTAAGATACAATGTGTGTGTTTGGTGAAATGATGTTAAATATAATGACATATATATGGGGTGACATTTTATATTTTTCTTATGAATGTCTTCAGATTAGTACTTGCAATGGAAGACAATGTGGAGACACTTTCCCCGGACCAAATGGGCCCGACAAGCCTTCTCTCTGGACCGAGAATTGGACGGCCCAGTACGTACCATTATCATTCTTGCAATAATAATATATATTACCCTGAATTTCGATGAATATCAAATACACCCCAAAATCTTCGACAAATTGCACCATTTCGCCTAGTGTAAACAAAAGTCAAGGGGGGTGTTTGTGAATTTTGGTTGCTTTTGGACAATATTTGTCACCATTAAAAGACACTAAAACCTTATTTATTTTTTATAATCAAGCAAAACCTTGAGGGGCCGTTCATGTAATTATACTTAAACTCAGAGGGTAATCACATTGCAGGTACAGAGTCTTCGGCGACCCGCCTTCTCAACGGGCCGCTGAGGACCTTGCATTTTCCGTTGCTCGTTTCTTTGCAAGAAACGGAACCCTCAACAACTATTACATGGTATGTATTATTATGGAACATTTAAATCTTCTTATTGCATTGTAGTCTTCTGATTTTTTGCACTGAATAAACAGATGGTACGTGTTTATATTCGTTGATTTAACGATAAAAAACTCGAAAATTATAGTGAAGTCACTAGTATATTCGTCCTTTATTTTTTTTTTCAATTTT